CGAGAGTGCTCGTAACGATCCGCTACGTGTAGTTGCTACATGGGCATTCCAGCTGGCATCGTATGATCCCGATATGAGACAGGCATTAAAGGATTTATACAGAGCTGAACCTAACTTTTTAATTAATACGCCATCGATTGGGCTGCAAGTCGAGCAGCTTATCGTGAGACCACTATCCAAATACCGTGGTGATAAGGCCGTTATATTGCTAGACGCACTGGACGAATGTGCAGTAGAAGGTAGCAAACTACGAAGTGAGTTTCTAGAAACTCTTGGCAGAACATTTGCTAGACTCCCCAAGAATATCTCGATATTTGTGACCAGTCGACCGTTGCAGGATCTTCGAAAGCAGTTATCCGACTATACTCCACGCATGATGACACTAGAAGCCACCGAAAACTTGAACGATATAAAGCTCTACGCACGGTACCGAGTGAACCGTCTACGCCCCTTCTTGGCGCCAGACACAAGCATCGACACTTTAGCCGATAAACTATCTACTATGGCACACGGCCTATTCGTATGGTTGTATCTGGCGTGCGACACAATGGATAAATCGGACGACCCGATCCAAACCATTGCTGAGCTGGAAGAGCGAACTCTCGGAAATGATGAAGATCGTATGGACGCTATATATACTAGAGCCTTGGTGACCAGCTACAAAGGAGGTTCAGAGTCATCAATCCCATTGTACACCAAACAACTTGGAGCACTGGTAGCACTTCGTACACCAATGTCGATTGAGGGACTATCAGGTTTATTAGGTGTCACTTCTACGTCAGTCAAAGTAAATTTGTCTCGTCTAGAATCTCTCCTTGTAATATCAAAGTCATCAGTACAGCTAATGCACAAGTCGGTCGCTGATTTCATCACTTCAAAGGACCGCTGTACCGGAGACGCCTCGCCATTCTATATAAATAAACAGGAAGCAGAGTGCCACCTTGCCAGGATGTGCTTGCTTGCTGTACCATCCAAATTGAGGCTTGACAGTGTTCCCATGCAGATCGAACAACTCCGAGGCATTGTACCATCAGGTAGTCCAACACATATTATCTATGCTTGCTCTCATTGGGCAGATCATCTAGATTCCGTTCAAGAGCTAGACAATGAGCTAAAGCAGGCCCTCGTACAGGCACTTCAAATCTATGGTCGAGGAATGCTGATAGTGACCGTATTGAAGAATCGCCCAAGTGCTTTAAGTCATATATTGCAAGTCGGTGGGGGATCGACTTTATTGAAAGCAACCGAAGCAACAAACTTTTTCAATCACCCCATTCTCATAGAATCCTGCTTATCCAATAGTGCGGGTGTTTGTGAAGCGTTGTTGAAACACGCTGACGCTGACGTAAATTGCCTCAAATATGGCCGTGATTCTGCTGGGAGGATCAGCCCGCTCGAGATTTGTATTTCGGCTTCCTTCGTGGACACACTGAACGTCCTTCTCCGTTATGGAGCCGACATAGAAGAACCCACTTCCCTGGAAGCGCTGGCAACCCGATTTGACGAGGAGCTCACAATTGAGCGTCTTCGCCGTAGAGCTGAGGCAGAGATCTCTCACATGGTAAGCCTCTCTGCTTTTTCAAGGTACGTCTATTATTCCTCGTATTCTAAAAAGATCGTAAACAACTAGGATAATATGATGAACGCTGCAAGACTGGACAACCTTGTACAGTTGAAACAATTGCTAGACGCACATCCGTCGACCGATATCAACCGACAATACCCAACCTGTGGAGACAAGAGTCTCTTGCTCGTGGCATGTCAGTACGGATCTGTCAAAGTCACTACTTGTATCTTGGAACTTGGCGCTGATCCCAATCTAGTCGACAACCGAAATCTCAGTCCACTCCACCATGCCTGCGCTTTTGGCTCTCTTGATGCTGTAAAGACCTTAGTGAAGGCTGGAGCATATGTAGACGCGGAAGGGCTAGACGACAGGGATCAATTCTTCAGCAACAAATTCGTCAGGCCCATCGACTTGGCGTGCCAGAATGGTCATATAGAAGTAGTTAGGTGGTTGCTCGACAATGGGGTTAGTCCATCAGCTATCGAGGAGGGGAAGGTTCATCCTCTTTTATACGCATCGATCGGAGAATCTATCGACATCATGTCCCTGTTGTTATCAAAGGGAGTGGATGTAGATTACAATAGCAAGTACTTGGGTACGGCTCTGTTCGCTGCCGCTTGCGTAGGTGTCGCAAATAGTGTAGAATACCTTCTCAATGTCGGGGCAGATTCAACCATTGGCTGGGACTTAGACGACGCTGTTGTCGATGGGCCTCTTCGAATACCTAGTATGACGCCTTTGAAAGGAGGTGTCGCTGGAAGCTTCCAAGACGTAGTTGCTCTATTGGCCCCTGGATCTCGTCCGGAAGATAGACGCCCTGAAGTACAGATTAATGCTATGGCACTTTCGCTTCCCATCGAATACCAGGAGAAATACGGGGAAATGTGGCTTCCCGTCAAATTTCCTCCAATAGTTATGGCTGCTATGCATGATAATCCTAGATTGGTAGAGCTATTTCTACCATATGGAGAAGACATTGAAGCCACCACACCGTTTTCGTTTACCTTTGACCTCTTTGGAGCTACCGCCTTAATTTATTCAGCTCGTCAAGGTCGGATTGTCATTGCTAGGATGCTTTTGGACGCGGGTGCAAATGTCAACGCACTTGTGGAATCTAGACGTTCTAGCTTGCACATTACCGCTGTATCTCCTGTAATAGGTGACCGGGTCAAGGCGGATGTGGTCCGCTTGTTGGGATTTTTTAGAGCTAGTCTCGACCATGTAGATATAGATGGATACACCGCTCTGTATCTTGCTGTCACCACCAAAGCTATACAGACTGTAGAAACGTTGCTGGAGCTAGGAGCTAACGTGAATCTAGCGGATAATATGGGCAATACTCCTTTACATGAGGCAGCGAAGCGGGATGCTGTCAACATGGTCACCGTCTTGGTTCATGGAGGTGCGGATAAAAGTAAGCAGAATCTAGAAGGACTGACGCCTCTACAGATTGCTCAGAAGGAAGGGCATAATAATCTTTTGCACCTGTTGAAGTGATGCTGGATTAACGGGAGTAGTAGTGTTGCCGAAGCAATAATATTTGTGGACATAGTTGCATAAAGTTAATTCGTCTCCCCGTGAGCGCATCGTCGTTTATTGACTTATGCCGTTTACGTCCAAGTCTCGAATGGCACATTCACGATCTGCGCAGACCCAACAGAAACCACCACCGAACCCGGGACGTAACAAAGTATACGATTCATTCAGTCCTTCTCAGTAACAACATTCACAAAGTGCAGACGAGCTTTGCGCCTTCCAAGCAACTTTGAAATCAATGTTCCCCAACACGAACAATGAAGGACAAGCATGCCAATAACTAATTCGGAAGAGCAGATAAAAGTTGTCCCAATCCCTCGACGACACAAGCCTTGGCAAATGCTTGCGATCTGATCAAAAACTTACAATCAATAAGGTATCATGCCGCGACTAGTTCTAAACCTGGAACGTGTCTCTTCAAGCTTTTAATCAGAGCAGCTTGCCTACTACAAAAATCAAAGGGGTTGTTATGGACAGATATACTTTGGCCCAACACGAATACATCCCGCTCGACAAAAACAAACCCGCTTGCAATACTGTGGTACAGGTTCATACGACAAGTACAAACGCACATCATTTTGGTAGGCCAGTTTCTTTAAACGTGGCTTTGAGATCATATCTATCTCCATTGTCGTCTTGGACTTTGAGCAAGAAACCATCAGGAGGATCAATCAACAAACGTCTGTTGTCATTCCCAAGCAAGAAAATTGCAAATTGGATTGTTAAAGTACGGTGCAAGACCATGTTAGACTTTAAAATGAGTGGGTCTCGCCCATTCTGAATCCAGATGAAATCCACATGATATGTAAGTGGTTCTGTGCCGGATGTGCAGTTGAGACGAGAAGCAAAGAGTTCAAGTACGAAGGTCACGAGGAAATGAGTGAGGATTATCGTGAAACTATATGCGTAAGATGACTGAGGTGTTTGTTTAGAATGTTCAAAAATATGTTTGCAGAATGGTAATAGCAACACATTGCGAAGGTATACATACCTTGAGGCTGTAGTATATGCCTCTATCGTCTCTCCTTCTTTGCCTGTCATGGTCAGGTCTTGGTAGAATGCGACCAGAGTTAGTATGTTTGGATTGTCGCTGGATTATCGTCAAAGGCGGATGAGAAAGAGTTTTCGACCACATTTTGGTTTCATTACGAGCCATTTGAAGAGTTCCGAATGTCCAAATACGTAAAATCACGTAACTCTATTGTCTTGAACGTTGTTTCAGCGCAGCTACCAACAACAGAGACCACAAAAGCAGCAATGTAACGCTCTGATACCATCTATAATTGATTCTTATGTACAAAACACACGTATGTCACCTAAATACAAATGAAACACATGGCGAAGCATGGGGCTGGCTGGAAACCCAGCCTGTCCAGTTATAGAAGCAGCTCAGCATTCCTTGTTTCTTGGGATGCGGCAATATTTAATATGGATTTGATGTTTAGAAGCGCAGGAAAGAATTACAAGTGGAGAGAGAGACTCGAGTGAGTATAAATACACGAGCAGGTGGGAAGGAACGGCGAGAGGGGCTTGATTACGCGTCGTCGCGGTCATCTAGAGCGCCATTTCTTCACTGTTGGGCCATTCATTACAATACGACATCCAGAAAAACTTACGACGTCTGCTCGTTGATCTTGGACACACTGACGCACTCACTACCACCAATCTAGTTTTTAAACGATTTATTTGGTTGGGAATCTCACAGCTCGGACTACAGGTGCAACAGCCGCCCCATTACCACCACCACCAGCCGCACCACCCGCACTACTATTCTGAATGCCCACCGCAACAACCAGCGGCACATGATCACTTGGATGATGCCAATTCGGAAACCCAACATTCCGTGCAACATAGTCACGATCCACATTACTCAATAGTCCAGTTACTACTAGCGAGTTTGTCGAATACCATATATAATCAATAACACCCTTAAACGTCGGCGTGTAGTTTGTAAAATCTAGTTCTCCAACATGCGAGTATGCTGATTTGAGCGACATGCGATGCGTCAGGCCTTCCGATGTATACGGGCCATACACGTACGTTCCAAAATCTACATGGCCCTGCGACACATGTGCTGATGACAGGAATTCATAGACGCCCGAGTTGGGTAGCGAGTTGAAGTCTCCGGCAACGATTATCGGCATTCGGGCAGGACTGTTTGCTATATACTGGTGTGTTGGATGCCGTGATGGGAGCGAGGCATAGATGTTTACTACTCGTTGGAGTTCGTCCATTAGCATGGCGGTTTGTACTAGTTTCACATCCTTGTATGTTGGATCCCAATGTAAATGGGCATTGGTTACGAGGACTCGGGAGCCCGTTTCTTTAAGTTCTAGTAGTGTAATTACGGCTATGTTGTCCTTGATCATGACTCGATTCAGAATGTCGTCTGTCTTTCTGAATTCAGGCCGTTGCATGGCAATCTGTTGGAATTCAATGAGGTGCTTTTCTACCAGACTGAATCTAGAAGCGTTGAAAGAGTCATTAATTTTGATATCTGATATTCGCAAAACAATACAGAAAATTGTGCATACTTGGAAGCCTTATAAAAGGTCGCACAACCATCAACCCCTCTTCTTTCATACTCTGACATGGTTCGTGCTCTAGACTTTGGCCAAAACACACTTTCGTAGTCACCATGTTGTTGTAGTTGATCTCTAAAGTACTCTTCATACTGAGACATCTCAACTTCCTGTGCATTTAAGAGAGACTCGTGGTCAGCACCAAAAACCAACGTGAAGAAAATCCTACGAAACACAAGCATACCTGAAGACAGACGACATCAGCGTTATATGTCAAGATCTCTTGCAACAGAATCTCTTTTCTGTATTCCCAGTTCAATGCCCATGAAGGTGTATATCCGTAAGAAGCAGAAGTTGCGTATTTATCGCAGAGTGTGTTATAACACAACAGCGTAAACGTATCTAGGGAGACATGTAAGGTAAAAAATTATGCTTCCAAGGAAAACGAAGGCATGTCTTACCAGCTTGAGCAACTCCAGCAGGGGTATCCTCTTCCAAGTAAATCCACTCACGTTCTGGTGGTGCTGGTGGAACTATCAAGGCAAATTTTTAGGAACTCTAGATTTACGTAGCTTCGACACACAGACAAGGCTCATACCTGGACAGCTATCCCTCAAATACTGAATAACACCAACAGTCCCATCCTTATGCATAATACTAACAATCGGATCCCCCATCGGATTCCCTTCCAGCCCCAGCGTCTCCAATTGATACAAGAATCCCAGCTCAGGAGGCAGCGTATGTATCTCGTTATCAAACAATAGCAGTTCCTTGAGGTAGGTACACAGTCCCAGCTCACTCGGTACACCGCTCAGCTTGTTTCCAGACACGTCTAGCGTGACGAGATGCACCAGACGACATATCTCGGGCGGGATTTCGAGGAGGGCGTTATGGTTTAGATACAAGACGGTCAAGAATGTATACGAAAAGAGGTGTTTCGAGAGGGATTTGATTGCCATTCCACCCATATCTAGGATTGTCCATTGCGATGCTTTTTCAACAGCGAGGGAGTTGCTGCTTCCGTCTTTATTAGTACCGTTGGTTAGACTGGCGTTGGAATTCGATGCGTTATTACTTGGCTCGGGCGTTCCACCTTCGCGTAGATGGGACGGGACTGGACCAGTGCCCGATATTCTAGCAGCTGCGGCAGCTGTCCGTGCTCTCTGATGTGGGCCCGAGCTATTTCTAGATACTTGAGCACCTTCCATCTGTTTCTGCTGATACGGCCCTCCATTTATACCGTTACTATTAGAATTACTATTCTGCTGTTGCTGTTGCATGTGCGACGAGTTAGCAACCAACATTCCACCAGACATGCCCGTTGGCGGCAGCGACGATACACCTAAATATGCTTTACTAGGTGTTGTATGTGGTTGTTGTGAAGATGCTACAAACGAGGCCGTAAACCGTGATTGAGCTGCGGCAGCAGCGGCCTGCTGCTGTGGCTGCTGATTACTGTACATGCCATGCTGACTATATGCGGACGGTGGGTTTGGAGAATTTGGCAAATTGATGTTGTTGCTAAATCCATAATAATTCTGGTCGTCCTTCATTCCCAGATTTGTCATTTAGCAACACCCAAAACTGCAAATTTACTGAGATCGAATGACTGGCTCTATGATTACTGTGATTGTCCTGTTTGTTGTGTGTTTGGTTGTTTAAATGAATAATTTTGGGTAATGATGATGCTGGTGTTCTCTCAACCATCCACTAGAGAGGAGACCTTCTGAGCACCAAGAACCTTTTTATCTACTACGAGTCACTGATAATTCGTCAGAGGTGACTATATAACAAGTGGCAGACCAACTCTTAACAGAACCCCACCTATTCTCGTTTTACGGTGTGTTAGCACTATATACAGAGAAACGGTGATGTCAAAGTACTTGCCAGCTCTTGTCGTTCGTACCTTGACCTGAACTCGTTCTGTTTACCTTACTATACAAGTCCTCTCGAAAATGCTGATGGTGTCTGGGAAAGTGAACGTTCCAAATTGCTCAAGTCAACGAAGGGAACGGACAAGGATGAATTCGCAAGCTCCTGGACATGTTTCAGCATTAACGTCGGGTTTCGCGTGGTTTCTGCTTTGAATTCGATCATTGCATCGAAAACAACCGAGCAAACAAACTCGTAGGTCACCTCGAATAGTTCTCACATAAGTACATGAAGGAATTTTATATTTGTACAGCAAGCGATTTCTAACCACCAATCTTTACAAACGCCACCTCAACACATCGTACACCACTATTTCCTAGGCTTGCCAGCACCACCTTTTCCTTTAGCCTTTGCATCTTTTCCTTTAGCATCTGTCTTGGCTTTACTGTTCTTGCCAGACGATGAAGCATCATTCTTTCGTTTGGCAGGAGTAGCTGCATTTGGATCTTTGGGAAGTGGTTTAAAGAATCCATCCAGACGTCCTTGAGTAGCTGTGCCACGGTTTTTGACGAGTTTGGCAACTGCGTTTCGAATACGATCCTCGCTATGACGATTTTCCAGAGTTAGTATAGATCAAAGATTCCGATTGGGTTTTGATAATGTACGTTGGCGTTTTGTTGCTTTGCGTTTTGGACTACTCTGCTTACTTGAAGTTCTTTTCCTCAACCATGAATGCAATGATACCATCAACGTCAGGATCTTCCCATTTCAACTATTTAAAAAGCCAAAAAGTCACTAGGAGACCAAAATTACGTATGGCAACCGCAACACATACATCAATTTCATTAGGATCCTGTACTTCAGGCTCCACAAACAATGATCGAGCTTGCTCATACGGCCAATCTTCAGGCACCGTAAACTTTTTATCCAAATGTTTGATTGCGTCGTCTAGATTCTTGTACTTTTGCATCAATTCCATAGCACGATGTGGTCCAACACCTTTGATGCTATCACAGTAATCACATCCCAGAAGAATACACAAGTCAGTGAATTGCTCCATGGACATCTTCATTCCTTCAAGGGCCTTGTCCAAGTGGATTTCAGAAATGTTCATTTTGCGAGCTTCGCTGAATGTCAAGTGTCGTAAGAGGACTGGTGCACCGAACGTTAGGGTGTCCATGTCTTCTGATGCAGCTGCGTACACCTATTGAGATGGGTTGGCGTAGAACAAGGTTGGTCAATGAATGCGAACAAAACAAGTGCGAGAATGTAGTACTATACCTTGCCAGCCTTTGCTAATGCAGCACATTGGGCTTCAGCTTCACAAGGAGCCTATAGGTTCAAAAGAATGACGTGTCAGTCCACAAGATCAACCAAGAATGCTGATGATGATCTGTTACAACCATACATCCACATATGGAACACCCATCAACTTCAATAGACGTTTGCACTCCTCATTGTGCTCCTTGGTGACTTTGACAGTCCTCCTGGAGAACTTGTCGAATGTCTCAGTATCACCTATTGGTCAAAAGCGAAAAAGTTTGACTTTGAGCTCATTAGGAAACGCTACTAGCTGGTTTTTTCGCTGGTAGATTCAACCGCTCCAAACGTACCAGTCTCTTCAGCCTTCTTCATTTCCTCGAGAGCTTCCGCGCGTTTCTCTCCTCTCTTCTTCAATTCAGCGGATTTAGCGACAGGAGGTTTGCCATCGAATACATAGCATGGCTTGATTCCATGTTCAATCATTCGAAGTGTGCGGTAGAATATTCCCATCAAATGACTACATGAGAATAAATCAGATCTTGAAATATATATCAATGTATAACACCTCTGACCTTGTGGTCTCTCCAGCTTCATTAGTGAGTTGCTGACCATCAGATCGTACAGCAATCAAGAATTGGTAGATGGACATGGAAGCATCGATGGCTACTTTACGGCCAAAGTAGTTTTTGATATCATGCTCGGTCATAGCTTCGGGTGCATGGTCGGCAATCACCTTGGTTAATCCTACATCAAATGATAATAAATGTGGTCAGCTTGGAAGCTCTAGTTGAATTAGGACTCATAGAAGATGACATACCTTGAATTCCCATATTGACAACACTCGCATGGAGTATACGAATTGATCAAAATACAGCTACCACTTCAAAAGTAATGTTTTATACAAGTTTGCGAAGTCCAGGCCGACTTTGAAGCAAAGAACAACTATCTCGTAGGCTTTATGGCTCTATGACGCGCGAGATACATTGAATTATAGATTGCAACGCGTAAATAATAAGAAGGATACCGGGTGATTCGAAAAATCAGCATCTTTGACAAACCTTTTTTGCTGCAGCTAGCTGACTCCACAATGTCTCCTCCAAGACCGCGCCACATTCCCGTCCAAGCAGTCCTATCACTCCTTCGATCCAAACGTGATCTCCACTCCTCTCGCTCTCTCCTTCATCCCCGAAAGGCAAACATCACATCTGCTCCTTCCAAATTTGGTGTATACGACCTCATCCTCCCATCGTCTGCTTCCTCATACCCTTCACAATTCACAAAAAAACGCGTACATATCCCTTCTACCACGGGTCTACCAGAGTATGCTCTTACCGGAAGTCCAACATTGGTTTCGTCGCCTAGTATCAAGAGAGGGAAGGAGCTGGATGCTATGAGGAGATCGTGCGCGCTGGCCGCTAGGATATTGGAGTTTGGTGGGAGTTTGGTTAAGGCTGGAGTTACTACCGAGTACATCGATGCTCAAGGTACAATTATGTGTTTGGATCAGCGAATTGCGAGATGAGCTACCACATATTTGTACCTAGTTCACGACAAGATTGTAGAAGCTGGTGCATATCCGTCACCGCTAAACTACATGAACTTTCCTAAATCGATATGTTGCTCGATTAACAATGTGGTTGCTCATGGGTAAGGTCGCAGGTTTCAACTCTATTGAGATTCTTCTGACTGGTCTTTTTTGCACTTCAGGATTCCAGACGCGTAAGAAAAGTATTCTCAGACGACCTCTTGCTTTATGTCCTGACTCTTTCCTTCCAAGGCGTCCGCTTCTCGATGGCGATATCATAAACCTAGACGTCACTGTTAGTCTTCTGGCCACAAACCTTCCGATTGATTTGCCGTGCTCACACGTCACTCTTTCAGGTGTATTTAGGTAGCTTTCATGGCGACACATCCGCCACATTCTTGGTTGGAAACGTGGACGAACCTGGTCGTAAGCTCGTAGAAGCTACTCGCAGAGCTCTGGAACTGGCAATAGCTGAATGTAGACCTGGAGTTGCTTTCACGAAGATAGGAGCCACGATTAGGTACAGTGGTCTGAGAAACATTTTATGTGCAGGTTGCAGTTTCCTGACCATTTCCTCAACCTTAGTGAATTTGCGAAAGCGCATTCATATAGTATAAATCAGGAGTTTTGTGGTCATGGGATCGGTATGAACATCTTCCATCTGCTGATTTCGTCAAAGAGTTTTTTTTTGCTCACGCAAGTTCGGAACTTAGGACGTCACTTTCACGAACCTCCATTAATCTATCATTTTGATAATGACGAACCTGGGATTATGGAAGAAGGGATGACATTCACAATAGGTAACCGTTGTGTTTGACTATGCTCGTAAATCCTAGCGATCGATCTTCTGATGAGGGTTTTCACGTTGTTTTCCTAGAACCTATGCTGAATCAAGGCGGATTCAGAATGGAGAAGTGGAGAGATGGGTGGACGGCTGTAACAATTGATGGTATAGTTCTTTGAGTTGGCTTTCGAACATATCACGGTATTAACCTGCTTGTTTTGCAGGTGGACGCTCAGCACAGTTTGAGCATACATTGCTCATTACTAGAGACGGTGCCGAAATACTAACAAAAGTTTGACCTAATGTGCTATATATTTGAATAAGATGATTGCTGATCAGGGCCTTAATTCGGAAAGGTTAAAGCTCGGGGCCGAGTTAAGCTGCAGGTTGAGAAATGGGGAGTGGGCAAGCTAGTCTGAACATTAAGCGGTCACGAATGCGAGTGAGATTACTTGCGCCCCCAGTTGTCTGTTGCAAGTGAGGAAGAAGGAGCTTGGGAACGAAGACGTGCATGCTTCAGATCTGGTGGTAGTTTGAGGTAATTGAGGTAGATGCGCGTAGATCTGACTTTAGAACGCGTTCAAAGAGCTTCAATTTGAATTTTGCTGTACGGTCTTTAAAACGCTGTCCAATGCCATGTCGAACACTTGAAAACACAACAACGCAATCTGCGAAGCTTTGACAAAGCTTTGAACATTGAATTGACTGGGAAGGAAGCGTCCCAGCCGGTGAAACTTCAACGCTTACTTGCTATTGAAACTTGGCTACCAATACCGAGGTCACTGCGTTTAGCAATCAGCAGCTGTCGTTCACCATGAAAATATCTGGCCATAGTTCTTACTTGGTAAGCTCACCTCCTTTAAAGAACAAGTTCTGTTATCCAATTTTTACTACTCATTGGCTTGATGCTTACTTTCTGCCTCTATAGAGTTGGAAATATTCGCGTTTCGAGATTTCAAGTTTAGAATTCAAGTACAGCTTCACCCAGTCTACGCTCCAGAGTAAGTACCTTTAAATTTGCTTATTCTATATTCATTCTAAGGCATCGGGACCTACTGGATTCTCGAGTCATTGAAGAAAGTGTGGAGCGAGAAACACGACCTCCACCAGTAGTGCGATGGACGCAACACAATTTTCCGTTAGATCGGACTGAGATAGAGCTATAATTGCTTCCTGTACACATAACAAGTGCAAAATTTATGCATTTAACCTTCTCAAACACGTTCTTTTTCACTTGCGTCGCATGATGACAGCATATTTCATTGTTGGAAGCTTGTTCTTAATATCGAAACGCGTACGTCACTTTACTTTGGTCAAACAGACAAAGGAAAGGATTATGACTGAGAAGAATTAGAAGCGTGAGCTGCGCCAGAGTCTGTTTCAATCTCACAACACGACGCTGTATTGAAAACTGCAAACTTGAGGAGGCAGATGTAGCTCGAAAGAGTGGTTACTTCAAACTTTGAGTCATCCGCTATTTAAGTAATTTGATTGAATTGATTTACAAAGGGAGAACTGGTTCTCTCTTACTGGAGAATTGCACGCTTTCTCTCAACTCACTCAGAATTACAACCGTTTGAATTTTCATCCAACATTCCAACAACACGTCTCAACCTTCAACATGATGAAACTTTTCTGCTTCTTCCCGATAATTTCAGCAGCATATGGTCTGAGAGCACCAATGAGTGCTCTCAGTACCAACGAGTATGATAGTCTGACGACTCTGATGAGGAATGGCTCGCCTGGTGGTAATCAACTCTCAATGGTTACAAGTATGACATTTTTGAGATACTCATTTCCGTGCACAAACACCTATGACTGAGCCCATCTGTGAACTAGATTACATATTGAGTCGTCCTCAATCACAACCTGCTTTAACGATGGGAACCTGGACTTTGTTTTTGCCAAGGGACTCAGCATTTCAAGAGTACCTTTCATGTAATCCATCAATCAAGGTGGCTTCTGAGAACTTTACACGTGTAAGTTGAAATGTTTAGTCGCTTCATCATAAATGTGTAAACTTGTCGATCCCGTCCAAGTAAAACTCGAGCTGTTTGTTCTGACCTTCTTCATTTGAAATATTTAGCAACTCGGAGTTCACTCGCTTCCAAACTACGTATACAATCCTATAGGCGGGGAGACTCCAGCGCTAGTAGTCGCACCAAGTGGATATAAACCATACATGCAACCCATAGCATATGATGGTTACCACGTCATGCTTCAGGTTAATGGCCGTTTCACTGCTACGGTAATTGAAAGCATCTCGACGTCAAATGATATGTGTGATAAGTGGGCTGATACGATAGTGTTTCGATGTGAATTGTTGAAAGACTTGTCTCTTGCTTAGGCATTATTCATGTGATTGATCGAGTGTTGTCTATACCATCTCCGACATCAACTACTATTGAAACATTCAGGCGCCTTCAAACGTTTTCTACTGTCGTAAGTGAACTCAATTTGGATGCAATGTTTGAAGGGCTGCAATCTGCCACTATTGTAAGTTCAACATCCACTCTGTCTTCTTGTGATTTGCGTGCTGAGAATAGACCTTTTCACATTAGTTTGCTCCAGTCAATGGTGCGTTTGCGTCCATGAAACAAATTGGATTGTGGTTTACAGCATCGCAGATGACCTCTGTGTTGAGCTACCACGTAGTGCCCAACGCAACGTTTTCACCTCAGTTTAAAGAGGGCCAGGTGCTGAATACTGTACTCGGTCCATCTTTGAAGGTGTCTATTGTCAACGGTTGGATTGTTCTAATTGGAGATCGATCGTAAGTTTCCCAAGCTTCGATATCTTTGAGTAGCTGACATGTTACAACTTGATTTGATTACATAGGATTGCAACTGTGGTTGCCGCCAACATACAGACCAAGAATGGAGTAATTCATCTTGTCGATAATCTGTTGATTCCGTGATCAAGTGTAAAATATTATTTAAAGACAGCTAGAGACTTTGTTATAGCATCGAAAAAGATTCAGATTTTGGCTGAATACCAAGTTTAGTTTTGGTTCCAGCGTCATGCTGGGTATTGTCTTCAAACAATACCACAAATCAAAGTTGCAAAGAAGACGGAAACACGATTTCAGCACGAGTTTGATAAGCGATCGCTCCGTGACTGCTTCGCAATGCGACACTCACATGCAAATTGCATCCGATTCGAGGTAGAGGTTACTGAAACAAACCTTTCGGTTGCTGTAGGTTTATGTTAACTTTCAACACATCCAAATTTTAAGACGGAAGGAAGACCTCTAAATGATCCCAACTACCAAAATCAGAACATTATGTTTCCATCTGCCGCTCGAATCGGGACGAAACGGGACGTGGGAGACATTGATGACATTTCATCTTATCTCATACTATGGTCACCCCCGCGATAAACCGAGATAACTTTCCTCTAATCCAAAACCCAAGTTGGATTCCAAATTGAAAAATCAACTACAAAATCAACTCAAGGCTCTTTAAATTGAAGCAACTCGTACCCTTGTCTCCGCCCACCACCATCAAGTAATGTACGCAAAACCATTCTTGAGTCTCTTATCTCTGCTCGGCTCAGCACTCTGTGCTCCTACTGGACAATTGCTACCTACAAATGCCTATGACAGTCTCTCCATCATCAGGATGGGTACACCGGTTGGTAACGACCTTTCACAAGCGTCGTCGAAGAATTATTCATCTCATTTCACAGTTTCTTTCTTGTCTTTTGTTAACGCTTTATCTGGTAACTGATTTGTTTATCATTCTTTAACAATTAGGCTATATAATGTCACAGCCACAATCCAAACCCGCTCTCTCAACTGGATCGTGGACATTATTCCTACCAACCAACTCAGCCTTCGACGAGTACATGTCAAGTCATCCTGGAACGAATGTCTCTTCTAATGACTTCACTGAGATATGCAAGTTTGCCTTTGTCTTCATTTCTTTGGCAAACGTTTGCTGGACAGCACGGCACAAAAAAATGCCGTTGATCGCCAGATGAAATCGATTCAGATCCGGAGCCCATTTTCTCCCACCACTCTTTCTTTTCCAAGCTCTGACAATTCCACACCCTGCCAAACTATGTCTACTACCCAGTCGCAGGAAAAACAGCGTCTCTGGTAGTCGTATCCAGTGGATACGCTCCGTACGCACAACCTGTCGCTTTCGATGGAAACCGAAACGTTATGCTACAAGCTGGTGGACTTTTCAGAGCATCAGTAATTGAGACTATTGCATGCTCGAATGGTGAGGACTAGCTGGATGGCCTTTTTCACTTTTTTTTGATTTGCATGTTTTAGTGAGCATACAGTTTCATTTGAAGTGGCGTCTTCTCACTCCACTCTTCTTTCAATCTCCGGCAGGCATGATTCATGTCGTCGACAAGGTCTTAGAGCCACCACTCCATGTATCGGCCACAATTTCCAAAATCGAAGAGTTGGGTATGATGTCCTCTTTACTCGAAGACAACAACATGGAATATGTGGTTGATGCTCTTGAATCCGTCACTATTATATGTGTAAATCCAGTCACTTTCCGTATTTTTTGCTATCATCAAACGGTGATAACTCACACGCACTCTCATCGATGTTAGTTCGCACCAACAAACAGCGCTTTCGACTCCTCAATCTCTCACCTCTCATCATCCCAGCTGTCCAATGTGTTTGGATATCATGTGGTGCCCAATGTGGTATTCTCAACACAATTGCATGATGGACAGATGTTGAATACTATGCTGGGACAGTCTTTGAAGGTCCAAATGAGAAAAAATGGCCAGTTTATGATTGTTGGTGATGATAGGTATATTGAGAGCAAAATATTTGGGAGTCATCTCGAGTGGCATTATGGTGCAAAGATTTATAGGCGTTTTATTGACTCACCTACAATTGCGTTAGATTGACTTGTCATTTACCCTGTAATAGTATTGCTACAATCACAGCGGCAAACATCCAAACCAAGAATGGTGTTTTGCACCTTATTGACACGGTGTTGTTGCCATCAACCGTCTGAGTGAACGACTCAATTCCTGACTATTACTGCAGGGGGTTTGCATCTTTCAGAGACTTTTTAAAAATAGACTTCACATTGTTTACGTATCTTAACAATCCAAAACATTTAATGCGCCAACAGGAAGTTGAATGTACACAAAGTTCTTTACCACAAGCCTTCGTTTATTTCACATCCATCACCCATCTATTTATATATTATCGTTTACGAGTCAAAACAGCTTGAGTCAGTTGTACCAGGCAAAGTTGAGCAGTAGATTGTGGGAGAGTCGATATAGCATCTACGGCAGCTTGACAATATGAAGCAGCCAGTTCTCTAGTTTTCGTTATTCCTGTTGATTGATGTACAAGTTTGTATGCCTAGAGCAGATGATGTGCGAGTATGAGTTTGATATGTCCACCGACGAGCACGATAACTATCATTGCAACAAACCACAAAAAACAAAGAACTTGTGATCTCGCATTGTTTATAACAAATCTTACCAATTCAGCATCACCAGCTTGATCGAACTTGCGTTCAATCAATGGCCATAGTTCTTGGAATTCATCAGCGGCGTATAGGACTGGCGCAGTAGCTAGACCTAGTTTCAAGTCAGCGTTTGCAGGTTTGCCCAGACCTTGAGCTGATACTGTGAAATCTAATAAATCATCCACCAACTATGTAGAGAGTGTGAGACGAGATAAGTCAGTTTTCGTGAATTTGACGTGTTGTTGTTGTTTTAGAGTGTGCGAGACACAAGTACAACATCCCTTCAGACTGATAGCAACGAAATGTGACATCATATCACATGCGTTCCGAATCCACAACGCCATTTTTTCTGTTCACGACCACAAAAGAGAGGAACAACAAAGCCAGCCAAGAGTGTTCGAAAGCACAATCGTACCTGAAACGCCAACCCCAGATTCTTCCCATACGAATAACTAGCATCCTGTATCTCTGGAGCACATCGTCCCAACACGGCAGCAGCTCTACAGCTCTTTGCAATCAGACTAGCAGTCTTCATATACGTCTTTTCCATATAATAATCAAACTTGGTCAATGTCTCTCCATTCGTCTTATCCAGCTGTGAATTCCTCAACTGCATAAACTCTCCCTCCACTAAATTCGATATGACTGTAGCTAATAGTTCTACGACTTCAGTATCTCGTAGTCGAGCGAGTGCGACTGATGCTCTGGCGAGTAGGAAGTCACCGGCTAGGATGGCCATCTTGTTACCGTATGCTGCGTTTGCTGTTGGTCTGTTTCGGCGAATGTCTGCGTCGTCGATGACATCGTCGTGTAAGAGGGAAGCAGTATGTATCATTTCGGTTATTTCAGCTAGTCGGCGTTGTGACGGAGTGATTCCGGGTGTTGATGTTGTCGTGTGTGGTGAGAATGTCACGCCGTCTCCTCGTGATATCTGGGTGTTGATTAGTTCGTCTTCTGTCATACTGCTAGATGTACTATATAAGCTGGTGTTATTACTTGTACTATTACCAGCGGTCAATACCTTAGGAGCTATACTGGTCGCCATTGACATGAGTAGTACAATTAATGGTCGAAACTGCTTGCCCTGCTGGCTGAAGTAGTAGTTCGATATTGTTTTCAGTACGGGATGACCGGATCCGAGCAGTTTCCTTATATTGTCGGTTATGATTGCTAGGTCCTTTCCTAAGAGTTCACGAGGGTTGATGACAGATCCGCCTGCAGGGTGGACTAGACCTTCGGCGTGCGCTATAGCCTGCGACCATGTCGGGGATGTGCTTGATGAGCGTATTTGTACAGTATGTGGTGCTTGGCTATATGAAGACGTGTGTTTGGATCTGTATGATGTGTTTGATGGTTGATTATGCGATCTCGATGACGAAGAGGGGAGTTGGGCCGTAAATGCTGATACGTGATAAGGTGATTTCGAGGCTGAGTAGTCCCTTTGAGTGCTTGATGCATGTGGTTGGTGATGCTACAGAAATTCGCGGAGATTGTAAGTTGGAGATTGTAAGAGATTTATCAAAACACGAGCAATACAACAATAGTGGAGCTAGAAGAGCCACTTCATATTCAGTGAATGAACTTACCAGTATTAGTCTACTCGAGGATGGGGATGATGTTCTTAGACGTGCAAGTCGACAATTTGCAACAACCAGACAAGTAGCTCCTTTCATGTTGAAAAGAGCGAATCGCAGCAGGCGGAATATGAGCTGGAATGGAGTGATGTATAGATGCGGGCTAAGATGCCTGCTCTATTCGAACAAAGCTTAAAAGGGCGAGCAAAACTACTGTGTTGAGTGCAAACGATTTCATCCGCAAACGACCAAACCCAAGCACATGAAACGGCTAGGCCGTAGTGAAAAGGTAGATCCTGACGTGTTGTTACGTGTCAAATACATGGCGATTCACTGTGCGATTGAGGCCGTTCGCATTTGTCAAGGATTGAGCAAGAGAAACATGCACCGAGGATCCTGTACAAGGTAGTCGATCGATTGCGTGCCAAAAATCTCTGAATTCGATATTTTATATTAATTCCTATATGTTCAGCGCTGTGGTGTCTCGCTCTCTCTCCTTCACTTCACCATAATCCTCCCCTTCCAATCTTTTTTTGTTTTGCAAAATCCAAACACACTTTTTTTTTTTCTTCAAACTTGATCAAAGACTTATAGCGTACGCTCAAAGCAACAAAATGCGACGCGACAAACCGATTAATACAAGCAGCACCAAGAAGCCTGTTGCTTTTAAACATCGACAGACCAATGGAAAACCAAAGCTATCACTTCCTCCTTCACTTTTGACATTGACAAATGGCAGCCAGATGCTTGGACGAAAACCAACAAAGCAAAAGAAGGCACACTACACCCCATCTACTACCAGAAAGGACGACATATACGAGGCCGACGACAATGCAAAGGACGAGACCAAGATAATTGGATCGGCATCAAACGGTAGACTCGATGATGTAGAGACATACGAGTTAGACGATGACGCCGTCATTGCTGACGAGGACGATGAAGAGATTGATGAATCGGATGCGTTTGATGAGGACGATGAGGTTAAATATGGTGAATTCTTTACGGCAAAGACCAGTAGTGACAAGACGAAGAAGACTGCTACCACTACCCGCACTACTTATGCTAATGGTAAAACATCATCCGCAGGCTATAAGCCATTAGATCTGAATGAAGATTCAGATGCTGATGAGCCGGAAGACGACCAAGACGACGAAGAAGAGTATAGTGATGGTAGTGACATGATGGACTTGTCTGAGCTACTCAATGACAAGCCTACTATAAATAAAAGGAATTCTACCACCAGTAATCCCATACAAGAACTGTTACTACCTGAAGATGATGATGCTAGTGATATAGAAGACGACGATGAAGATATAAGTGCTATGAGTGACGACGACGAAGAGGAAGAAGCCAGTGCTGACGAAGACGCCAATATCAACATGATGGACTTGGTATCTTCTTTAACTCCCGCCAAATGTCAACTCGTCGACCAAGATGCCACGTCAACACGTAAACGTCGTCATCGGACAGCCGTAATCACTGAAACATTCCCTGAATCCGAATTCAATCTTCGTAACAAGAAGTCATCCGATAGAAATAATTCTAATAGCAATAGTAATGGAATCGAATTAGCAGACCTCCTAGCCCCCTTAAAAGACACCACAGAATTCTCTGCCCTAAAAAAAAGTATATCATCATTCGAATCAGACTCTAAATACTCTCAGCCATTTGCTGCCCCGCTCCCGAAACGATTGCAGGATAAACAGACTAGACAGGCTGCTTATGGTGCAGCCAAGAAGGAAGTATCGAAATGGTCTTCGACTGTGCTTGCAAACCAGCTAGCTGATACATTATCGTTCCCGCTGAATGAAAGCTCGTCGGCGGTGCTGACTAGTAATGCGTTGTCTGCTAAATTCGAGCCCGGAAATGAGTTTGAGAAGGAAGTGTTTGGGATATTAGAGGCCTCGGATATGACTGAGAGGAAGATGGGAGAGTTTGAAGAGTTGGCTATGCAGAAGGTTTCTATGGATGAGGTATGAGTAGTTGAGTAAACTGAATTCGTAATACCAATTACTTGCGGGCTTGTTTTTCGTTATCACAAATCCCACTTTTTCGGTCTCGACCGAAAAAGCTCAACTGATTTGCTCACACTGCATTTCCATCTTCACCACATAGGTCATAAAACGCAGAGAAGAACTCTCAAAAATGCGCTCCCTCCTCTTCTTTCACGAACAAAAACAAAAAAAAATTGCTAAAATCAAATCAAAGACATATCGTAAAATACGTAAAAAGGAGTCTCTCGCGCGTAGTGCTGCTGCCCAAGAATCATTATCAGTACAAGATTTAATGAAACTAGATCCTGAACTGGCTCGTCAAAAGGTCGCAGAGCAGGAATTAGCTAGGATACAGGAGAGGATGTCGCTGAGACACAAGAACTCGGGTAAATGGGCCAAGAGTATGATTGGAAGGAGAGATGCTGATCCAGAGGTAACATAGACATTCCATATACGAGTCAATAACGTGGCGTTTTTTTGTTCTCTCTTAACAATCCAACACAACATCAAATATAGACTCGTCAAGCACTAATGGACCAGCTGCAACAACACGACGCTCTAAAGCGTAAAATGTCTGGTCTCGATTCCGACGAATCCTCTTCCGACGACGAAGACGATATCGAAGCCAACAAGATACTCGACGATGAATCCCACGATACATCCCTCCGCAAATCAGCAATCACATCCCTCAACCACCTCTCCCAAGAAATCAATAACGAAGCACCAAAAAAAGGTGTCTATGGAATGAAATTTATGCAAAAGGCGTTTGCGAAACAGCAGGAAGAGGCTGTAAGGGATGTACAAGATGCTGTTGAAGAGATGGAGCTCGAGGAGGAAGTTAGGAGGGCTGAAGTTGAGGGGCGGGATGTTGATGAGTTGCTATTAAAGAGGAAGAGTAGTAGAGAGAAGAAGGATGAGGAGAGTAAGAAGAGTAGTAGTGGGAGAGTCATATATGGGGCTGATTTGCCAGGTCGTGGGAAGAAAAGACTTGATGAGAGGATTGAGGAGGATAGCAGTGATAGTGATGATGAGGATGGACATGGCAAACCTGGGATGAAGCTAGGACGAGGTGGCTTGGCACTCAAGGTACATTAGGATATTTGGTGTCGAGGTTTTTTTTTTCGCGTCCCAACTCACTTTTTTGTTGCACAAAGGCATCAATGTCATCTGGATTTTCATCACGAGTATCAGGATCCATATCCATTCCCATGCCACAAAGGCTAAACTCAAATGTCGAACAAGTTCCTGCTTTGAAACCTATCTTTCAAGTTGAAGCTTTCACAGGTGAACCCTCATTGTGATTGCGTAGACTGGATTTCTTTTTATCACTATCAAAGACTTTCTAACTGACCAAAAACTGACGTTCCCCTACATTCATGCCAGATGATGCTCCTGTACAGTCCATACCACCACCACCAACTAAATCCCGCTCTGCATCTCCTCCTCAAGCCAAACAACCAGACCTTGACGATCTCATAACAATAGACAAACTCCCATCTGTCGTATCGCACAAAATCCAACACCAGCCTACATTCACAGAAAAACAACCACAACAAAATCCATGGCTCGCATCATCGTCAACAGTACCACTCCAGAAATCACTTAAAATATCACATACGCCACAATCTAAAACCGATAAGGCATTGACTAAATTATCTGTTGCTCGTAAAGACATTAAGAGTAAAGGTGGAGCCAAGGAAGACGACAATGAAGTGAGGATTGATATGACTGGTGTGAATGCTATGCAACTTAGTATGGCTGGCGGTGATAGGAAGAGGAAGGATGAGCCTGTTGTTGATGGATTGGAGAACAAACAAAAGAAGCTGAAAAAAGATGAAGCTGCCGATTTGCAAGAAGATGATGCAGTTGAATTGGAAGACTCAATGATTCACGTTTCAGATGTGAATGAATTGACTAGAAAGGATATTATGCAGATGGCTTTTGCTGATGATCATGTTGTTGAGGTACGGTGTTTGCAAGGCATTCAACACGCCCGTGTCATCCAACTGACTCTTTGCTTCTTCATATAGGAATTCGAAGAAGAAAAGAGACTAGCGCAAGATGAAGATGCTCCTAAAGAAGTTGATTTGACTCTTCCTGGATGGGTGAGTATAGCACTTCCTGACATATACCCTTTTTATACTTGAAGTCTAAGACACATTCCGTGTTCTCGTAATAGGGCTCATGGGGGGGCACAGGCCTCGCACCTCCGACAAAGAAAGTCATCGCCAAACCCAAACCACACGAAGGAGTTGAAATCAACAAGCGCAAGGACGCTAAATTGCAACATGTTATTATTAATGAGAGACGAGTCAAGAAGGTATGTCCGCCGTGGTTGAAATCAGTTTCATGCAGTTGGTAACTTCCGTTTTTTGACCCCAAATCCAACACTCTCCTGTTGCAAACATAGGCAGCGAAATTCATGCTCCCGCAACTCCCCTACAACTTTGACAATGCACAGCAGTACGAGCATACCCTACGGATGCCTATTGGTGGTGAATGGAATGCACCATCTGTGCATTTGAGTAATATACAGCCTCGTATTACGACCAAGCTTGGTGCTGTTATCAAGCCGCCCAAGCTGCCCAAGAGGAAGGGTGGGGGTGTGAGGAAGGCTGTTGCTTGAGAACGCAAATCACTTGCTAGCCTGAAGGGTTTTTTGGTTTGTATATATAGAAGGGTTAATGGTTCCAGAATATATGGTTTTGGAAATGGATGGGTTGAAGTGGTGGTTAGAGTTTGCTTGGAGTTGGCTATTTTGAACTGCTTTCATTTTCATTCTTTGTCAGAGAGCAGAGAGAAAGAAATAATTATTATACTTTGCATGCCAACAAGCGAGTAGCTCGAACACAACTAACGCTTCGAGATAGCTTACGTCGCCGTTGGACCATATATTGTCAGTCCAACCCTTAATCTTCGTCGAATTGGTTCACGTTTAGACGAAGTTTGGTCGCGAGAATAGCGAATATCACCTGTGAGGGAACAGAGAAACAAAATAATGTCACCACGACCTGTCATTAACCCTCTCCGTTTCAAATTGCCTTGTGATGGACCAGTGTATTATCTTTTCAATAAGCTAAAGGCTAAAAGCAAGGCCAAAAGCATTGGCGTTTGACCAGTTCCCTTGTGTTTGATCAGTCAGGGCAAAAAGTTGTCAGAATTCTTCCACGGATTGAAGACAGAAAAGTTTAATCATTCAAATCAACCAAGTTACACCATATCACGTCCCTGCAGTAGTAGTCGGTAATGATACAATTAACACAGAGACATTATGAGGATTCGTTAATAACTGATGCACAGATCGACCCAAAAGCAGTTCACATTCACCGCTTAAATTATCTTGTATTATATCCCAAGGTCCACATTACAAACACAGATTCAAAACCTCATGAAGTCGGCTTCCCAATCCTCAACGAATTGAACGATGTCATTAGTGGCGACAGTTTGTCCAAAAGACTCTGTATCTCAAGACCTTGATCATCACGTTGCCTCCTCAGTGATGCACATTCAGCAACCAATTCTTTTTCTCGTTGAGTGTGTTTGCCCTCTGTTGTTTTTAGATCATCTCGTAATGCCATAATCCTCAAGAAACAGGAGAGGTGTGAGAAGAACAGAATACCATTCGTTCGTACAGCGACACTAATGGAGTCCATTTGCTTAATTCTTTGTCAACAACGATACTTACTTGGCTTCGTACTCCCTCCTCAGACCTTCCTCACTATGAACTCTCCCTCTCAGACTATCCTCCAACCCAATAATTGTACCCTCATTCAATCTCAATTGTCTCGTCTTTAATTTCACAGTCTGTTCCAATCCACTCATCTGACTCTCTAATATCTTCAATTTAGCTTCGTAAGCCGATATCTTTTGTGAGGCTAGGGCTTGGGCTACATCTATTTCGTTTTGGGAGGATGCACGGATTTGGGAGAGTTGGACTTCAAAGTTTGTGAGAGCCTTGATGTGTTTCTCGATATCGTGTGATGACGATGTGGCTGTTGGTATCAGTAGATTTAGAGTTTCCGTAGATTGTGGTGTATCCGATGCCTATGCGGGACATGGTATTATTTTTTGTGGTGATGCAATACAACAACCGATACGAGACATACCACATGATACATAGCTGACACCAATCCATTGGCATATACAAGATCAACAGTCTCTCCATCTTGTAACGCTGTATGTATGATTTCAGCACATGTGAAGACCAGTCCATGTTCTAATGCACTCTCTCGCACAATTCCACTCAAAATATTCGATTTGAGTAGTATCACTGCAAATCGAATCATCTGACATACGAAGAGAGCGGTTTGTTAGATCTCTCCTGCAGAACATTCCTACGCCGCGAAGACAACATACCTGTCCTAGCGCATCACCATCTTGCGCAACAATATCCATCCAACTCTTAATCCTCTCGTCGATCCCCGTTACAAAAGACAAGTCATGATTAACCACTCGAATCAATTGCTCGAGTAAATCAATGCATGCAGTCACCAACACGAGTGATATGTCTCGTGTAGTCATTAGCACATTAAAGACTAGTTGTATTGTCTCGTTGAAATTCGATTTCGTTAGGAATTGGGTTAGAAGGGATTCGTCTGCGAGGAAGACGAGTAGTCGAAGCGAGTTTATCGCTATGGATCCATTCTACAGAAAGAGAGGGATGTCAGCAAGACAAAAAAGGATATTCCAGGTTGTCTGCAACGCCCATCTTACAGACTCAGAGAGCTGCTTAATTAAAGACCTGAAGAAGGATGTGTTTGTCTTGCTCTTGATACTTTGAGCAATCTTCTTTGACTTGAAGAGACTGGCGAGTATAGCTAATTGCGTTGGGTTTTCACCAGTTGATCTGTTTTGATGAAGGAAAGAGTATCAGTCTCTGGACTCCCAAGCAAATGACAAAAAGATGCCTGCAAAGATATTACATTGCAGACAAGTGTTTCAGAAGGACTGGTATTAGATCACCCAAATCGAATACTGGATCCATCCTTGCCATCCAAGTAGACATGATATCAATGAATTCAATGGCAAGTTGTGCTGATCGCGGTGGTAGATTCGTGCGATTCAGCGACCAGAGTACAGGATGAGACCGTTCCAGCATCCTTTTAGCAGTTTCACGATATCTAGCTGGTAGTATAGCAGGATATGAGTCCATTTCTCCACAGTTCCCGTCATTCGACCGTATCAACTCTACTCGCTCATACCAAAAAACAACCAGAGCTCCAAGACGTTGTTGATGACATCGATTGAAGTGGCATCAACCATTAAAGACTCGAATGTATCCAGGATCGCATTTAATGGGACTATATAATTCACATGTTTTGATTTGCAATTCGTCAAGAATGCCTAATGAAAAGCACGAAAGGCAAACATTAAAGTCTGGTGAACAATTATTTCAGTGACTTACAGATAGTAGCTGAGGCAGATCAGGTGGTAATGGATCCTTTCTACAGTTCTGAATGAGATCTTGGACTGGATCTATGCTGGTAATCATTGGAACGAAGCTTATCCAACTCAGCGAGAAAGATGTTTGGAGTCTTCACTGCGCAGATTTTAACACGCGCTTGCAATTCACATGATTCAAGAACTCATAACGCTGAACGTAATATTCGAAATATAGTTAATATACGTGAAGGTGGCTTGTATCTTTTCATTATGGAGGCCTTTATTTATACGCACGATCTATACTATTCACATTTCTTACAATTCAACATTCAATGCCTTTGAAGCTTTGAATCATCTTCATCGTCGACGAGCTTTAAGCTATTAGCCAGCACATCAACCTCATCTGGATGTTTCCCAATAGGCACCTTCAAAGGTAATCCAACGAAATCCTCTGTACCTGGCACCACATCCTCTTCCTCATCATCTCCAGCAGGCGTCTTATTATTCACACTACCAGAATCAGCAGCAGCCGATGCATGTTTCTTGGCAGTATCACTAGCTTGTTTGGGTGTAAAGAATTGTACACCAACTACAGGCTCATCCCATCTCGACAATTTAGCGGCACCACCACTGCTATTACTACCAGATTTGCGCAATGAGGGTACAGCTCTCGACCATCCATCTTGAGCAAACGGGTTTACGTGTTGACCGTATATTAGTTTGTGAATGGCTTCATCCCATTCAGCTATAGCTATTGGAGTTGGTGTTGGTTCTTTATGTGATGGATCACCCCATCCAGCTGGTATTACCACAGGATTGAATGGTTCTGATGGTGTTTGTGATGCCGTAGATGATGGTGATGATTGTGGTGTTTGTGATGGTGTACCAGTTAATGTAATAGGTTGATTGGCATCTATAGAAGCAGATTCGAGAGTGGACGACTTCTTCTTCCTACTCCTTGGTTTACGTTTCTTGGCTGGAGCTTTTGTCGTTACTATCGTGTCTGGTACTTCGACTGGTCCTTCTTCTTCCTCCTCTGAGCTGGCACCATCATTGAGTTTACTAGTTGAAGCAGTAGTCGGCAGCTCGTCTGCTTCCTTTATTCCTGGTTCTGTCGTCATTCCTTGTTCGCAAGTTTTCAAGAAATACAAAGCAAATAGACGTGTCGACGCAACTGGATCTTACAGAAAAGGAAGAAACAAAAGTGTATATCGATTCATTACGCGTAAACTGCGTATTACAGAAACTGAAGTCTCGATAGTCCACTTTTCTCGAACTGCACCGTTCGACTACACAATACAACGATATAACTTTGAACCATCAAACCATACAGAGAAGCGCAAAGTTGACCATTTCCGACAAGAAATTCGTACTGTTTGATATCTTATTACCTATTGCGACACCGGCTGGTAGGCATTCTTTGAAGCTTCTGCCACGACACGCCGTTCGCAATTAACATACGTTTTGCTGCCTATCAACCGTACTAGGGAAGCATTATCTTGGTTAAGTTCTGCGTATTGATGCTATGGACCCCTGTAATTGTTTCTACGATGAGCAAACTGTTGGAAATCGTCAACATTTGAAGAATGTGAACAATCAGTACTCTTTTTGCGAAAACTATTTTGTTACACTACTTTTCTTTGCATCTATAGAAATTGAAAACTACCTTTTTTCAACATTTCTATCACTCAACTCTTTGCTACCTATCACCCTCATCAGCTTTACCACCAACATTCACCAAAAACTGCTTTCCTTTTATGCTGCAGCACCACCACGATAACCTTGCTCTTCTGCAGCATTGTGAGCTACAGAATGCGCAGGTGAAGGTGCTGGTGATGATGGTGGCACAGACATTTGTTTCAAACCTCCTACTACACTACTCCAACTGCTGTTTGATTTGCCAGGACTGCCACGAGTATTTTTTGGACTGGTACTATTGGGGTTGTCGATGGTGATGCTACCACCAGCAGCAGCAAGCGAAGCATCAGTTCGTCGGTTGACCAAGTTGCCGTCCATGACAGATGAAGTCGAATCTGGTGATGGAGAGTTGCGAGTCGTTTCATAGCGACCTCCTTGGTCCATTAGTAAATTTGAATATAAAGGGTTATTGGGAGTACGATTCTCGTTACTACGTCGTCTGTTTGGTTCACCAGGACAGGGTTCCTCCAAATTCAAGATTTGATGAGGAGGTGACGAGAAGAAGCTAAAGTCCTTTGGTGGTGGTTGTATACGTTTTGGAGTAAATTGTGATGGTAGTGAAGACTGGCGAGGTCTGGTTGTTGTTGTCGTTGCTGCTGCTTGTTGTTGTGTTTGGGCAGCAAGCATGGCAGCATCTCGTAACAAGGTGGCTTCTTTGCTAGCACTTGTTGCATCACAAGTCAACCTATTTACAGTATTGTCCTTGTCGATACCAAAGTCATATACAGCGGGTACACTTGCAGATCGTGCACGGTTATTGCTGATTCCGGCGTCCGACGACGCTAGAAATGGATTATCGGCAGACGTTGCGGATTGTTGAAGTGCTGTAGTAGACGCACTGGTGCGTATATTTGGTGATCCACGTGGTTCGTGATCAAAGAGATGGGAGACTTTACGAGCCTGAGCTTCATGACCAAACCAAGAGTGTTGTTGACCAAGTATGCTGGGTGGATTCTGTACTTGTGGTACATTTGCCATCATGGCTGCAGCGTACTGTTTGGCTGATACTCTGTTGAAGGCTTCGATATGTCCATCAATTCGTTGGACGTATACCTAATGGGGGGAAAGCAGTCAAGACAAATGTCTACATCTTTTTGATCCAGATTGATAAGGGACATTCATCATTACCGAATAGAGTTCCTGTGATTCGACCTTGATGATTTTGGCTCCTTTGAAGGTACATTCTTCCAAAGAATAGCTTTCTCGTAGCTTGTCAAGACCCATCTTCCTCAAGGGAACAAAAGCAGGGTCAATAGCCATAGCATCTTGAAGAACATCCAATCGATCCTATTTGAATGGGTTCATCGTGTCAGTGACGATGGTGGTAGTGGTGGTTGCCAAAAAAAGATGGTTTGGGCGTCTCTGCCCATGATCACCTGAGAGATATTCCAAAAGTGTTGAATAGCTCCATCAGCCGCAAACATGACCCAGACATTGGAGGTAGTATATCTCTAAATGATCCCAAAGATGTTTGTTAAAAGTGATTGCCAAAGACCAACATCGCCAAGTCATCGACCATACCCTCGATTCAACAATCTTGCCACCTTTTCTCATCAGAGTCTCAAAAGAATCATCACCAGGACGATGAAGGACTTGTTTTGGCTCTTCAGCAGCAATAGCAATGTCTGTGCTTGTGCTCAAGGCTAGACTATCAGTAGTAGCTGAAGAATCCGACACGACTGGAGAAGTAGGAGGAGTGGGAGATACAGCCCTCGAGGCTTCGAGTATGGCTTCTACTTGTAGCGGTGAGGGATTCGCAGGAGCCAAGTAGGGCTTGAGTCGTTGTGGGGAGACATTCGTGTAGATAAAGACATCCCCATTTCCCATTTTAATGTGAATGGAGTAGTTGTCATTTCGGGACTAGGTTTGAATAAAAGAGTAAGTTTGTTTTGATTATTGTTTACCAATAAAAATAAATAGAAAGAAAGACTTGTCTTTTCTCACATGTCTGCGATGAGAGACGATTTGACCACCGCTCATCATCGAATCTTCAAAGCTGACTGTTGGGATCATTGCGTCAGGCAATGAGCTGCTATATCGTCTATATTCCGTCAAGCTTCCAGACTGCGTCACCGCCTTGTTCTCGGATCTCCTTGCTCTCTACTTTTGTTTATTTGAATGGCCGTTGAGTTTTGGAAATTTACCAAGGTCTGAACCTCTTACAGCCTACCGCGTCCGATGCTGCTAAACGTTACAGTGGACGCGCTTCATGTCGGTTAACAGACTCTATTGCTCTGTTTATACGTGGGAAACTCTCCATGTTAAACAGAGCTGAAGGCGTGTGGGAAGAAACAAACATTTGGAGGTAGATGCTGTCAATAATAAATTAATTAGATGAAACTGCCAGTAAAAGATTGAAAGGTCTCCTTGTTGGAGTAGTCAAACACGGAGTACAACCACAAACACCATCCATCAAGAAGACAACAGTGCTTCTCAAGTTCTGACCAGCAAATGAGCACCGAAAGAAAATAAAGCAACCTTGTAAAGATGCGGCGTCATGGAGTAATGAATTTAAAATATTCTAGATATACATGCTTCACCTTCTACTTTTCACAATTCGTCCTTGTCAGGAAGGGTTGCTTCAACAGTCCCTCCTTTAACAGCAGGTTTTCTTTCGCTGGACGTATTTGACCTTTTCACCTTTTCAGCAAATTCTCGAACTTCATTATCTATTCCTTCCCACTCAGGAAGGATTCGGCGAGCTCGGTCGAGTTTCGGCTCCTTGGTCAATGGATTATTGCACTAAACAGAGTGAAGACAAGAGCATTAGCGATCCTTATTGAATTCATTTGTTCTTGTACGACTTATGACGCACCAAATCTATTGTCTTGGCAGTCTTGAGTTCTTCATCGGAGCACCACGTCTCACACCATAACCTGATTAAAACAATAAATTTAGTTGACGCCAAGGCCAGAACAACTGAGACCGGCCGCAGGTCATTACCACTCTTGAGGCAGCGAAAATATAGGTATCTGATGCTGCATGTTATTAGGCAAGTCCTGGTCCAGATTAGCAAGCGAATTAGGATCAGCACTGAGCATCTGATACGACTGTCTTAATCGATCACCAGTGGCCTGCTGTCTAAACCTCACAAGATCAATGACGTATAGGGCACTAACATGAAATGTGTTGGTGAACTCATGTTGCAGCCTTCTATACAATTCAACAAAGCACAACAAACCTAATGTGATACGGCTTGCCATTTAAATGACTAGCCCAATACCCTTGCTTCCAGAATCGGAATCCGTCCATCTCAGTACGAGAAGCACAGAATGGGGTATAAGCATATACACGGCCTTTCAAATCCAACTCCATAAGCTCCTTCAAATCAGTACGGACTACTTGATCAGCATCCACGAAAATGACCTTCTCTAAACTGAGAGGGAACAAGACATCCAAAAAGAGAATCTTGTATCCCCATATCGTCCGTTGCTTTTCAGTCTGTGCTCGCAACCAATGAGGCCATTTGTCTGAAAGGAATCTTGTAAGCGAAAAGGACGGCTAAATACTAAGGACTGTGGTCCTTACATGTAACGAACTCATAATCAAAGTGATATTGTTCAGCCAATAGAGGCACGAAATCCTATTCGGAGGTTTGTCGGAAAAGCAAATATTGCGAATGTGTTTAAAGAATGTTGGTTGCTACCTTGAATGATGGAGACAAAAAGTCTGCAATCAACCAAAACTTGACCGGAGAATGCGTATTCCTAATGACGCTAACCATCATGATTCCCATAAAGCGCTCGTATAGATGTCCAGATGCAACAGAGAAAATGTTGATGGCAGTTCCATTTCGTTTCTTCTCCCTACCAGCCCACCTATATTGGTCAACCAAAAGAACAAGTTACTTGAGATTCACATGGCTTTGAAGCAGCAAATACAACACTTACGATCCTTTAATACTCTTCCACATCGAATTGTCCTCCTTCTCAGGTTCATCAGGTTGCAATACATCTTCATATTCCATGCCTGCTTTTCTCGTCACCTGCGCAAAAAAGGATATCAAACGAAATGAAAGTGCTATCATCACAGAACAAGAGCTCAACTCTTACCACAGGGAAGAGAGTAACACCTTCGAAACTACTGACTGCAATTTTGGATCCTTCTGTACCCAATAAAGAATCAGTAGCGAGATTCCGTCTTGAAGAGTATGAGTCAGCAGCCGACACCATTTCAAACAAGTCTCTTGATCGACCTGGACGTATTCGTAAATCTAGGACTCCTGGGAATGCCTTTAATTGCAAATATCCCAAATTCGACATGGTTATGGTGTCCTCCATGTCTGGTTGACTTGGAGTTCCAAGAATGAATTGGAGTCCACGTGGCGGTTGATTGTTGCTCAAGTCTCGAGCATGGCCTAATGGTTTGAAGAGGTATGAGAGATAAAAAAGGCCATGACGGAATGACATAGTGAGACCTCACCTTCAACAAGTATATGCTTCAGCTCGAAAATAGCTTCAACACCCTTCACGCTTGAAGCTGCATCTAACTTAGAGAGTTTGATGTTGTCCAAATCATGCTTGCAGGATATAGCAGAGACCACCCACGCATTAGGAACTATAAAAAAAGAAACATGAGTCGTGGTGAAAAACTGTCGGGGTTCCCGACGTTTGCCTACCATCATAACCCAAAGTCAATAGAGGGTCCATTGGCATATTGTCAAACCGAATATGTGAATGTTCAAGGTACCTACTCACAACAAACATGTCTTCCAAAGTCCATGTATCTCGTGCAAAAGAAAATACATTTGTCATACCCTTTGTCATCAAATGCTGGCTCAGCGTCAATCAAGTATCTATAGAATCGCTTGACAGGTGCTTGAGACAGCTTTGCAACTGGAGCGAGACGGACTTCAACATGTGTCTTGTCTAGCTGTTTCAACACCTAAAAGAAGGAGTAGACATGGCGATCAGAGTGATCGAATTTCGATTGTCAAGTCTTTGGAAGACAAGGAACGTACATTCAAAATCGCCGAAATCTTTTGAGCAGCATGACTTGCAGGATCAATGACTACCAGGACTCTCAGATAGGCTGCATCAGAAGCAGGTGAGTTCAAAAAGGTCCTATCACGATTGAAATTAACGGTCTGTAAATGCATCTGACCGGTTGACATCAATCTCCTCAAACTTACAAATGCGGAGTAGTGTCCTGCTTGATAGAAAGAAGCCATTCAGGAACACGACTCTTTTGATTTGTGTACATGCTACCAGCTGAAATGTCTGTAACAGATCCAGCTACTACAGACTGCACTTTTAGCATAACGGTTGCTATACTAATATGAAAATGGGTAAGCGAAGAAAGCCATGGGAATCGACAACCAACTCACGTTGAATCCGACCAGGTACTAGATGAAGGCACCGCTTGAATCTTTTCCCATAGGCCAGCAGCACGTTCCTTGCGTTCTAGATTCACAAGTAAATGGAAATCATCTTCATTCAACAACGATGCTTCTGTCAGTGGTCCAACAACCTGATACAGAGCAAAAAATTGAGTCGGTTTATAAGTATACACGTCGAGTGAACTGTTATACTTACTCGACCATTGATAACAATCATAACTGATTCAGGAGCTATAGAGAGTCCATCCAAAATGAAAGATTTCATCCTGTTCTGCGCTTGGGTATCTAAAACCTTGGCTGATTCCGGCAGTGATGGTTTCTTCTCTTCCAAATAAGCCATAATGTAAGACTCGATATTATCGATGGTCAAAGCATCCCCTGCCAGAGCCAATACATTATGCAGAGCAGGTATTACATCGCTGGATGCTCCATTATGGAGGAATGCAATACGTATTCTATCAGCGGATTTCTGCACAACAAAAATCAGCTGCATCTCGGAAGATTTTTTCACAAACATCATACCAAGGACTTGATGGCATTCAGAGCAAGCTGTGCTCCACTATTAGTCGTGAAATCAGCAACAAGCCAAATAGACATGGGAGCCAGACCTGATTCCTTAGAATCTACAATCAAAAAAGAGTTTGCAAGAAGCAGTGAGAGCATGCGTGCAACAGAATAGCAACTTGTCACTTACAAGACGACGACAGATATTTCAGATTGTCGATTACCCCATAATCATCAGCCTGAGCTACATCCACCATTTTAAGAGGGAATGTATCTGAAATGAATATGTACTCATTTCTACGCGAGTTGACACTAGGTAAATCCATAAAGAGCTCGAATGGATCTGTTTCGTCTGTGATCTCCTCCTCCATAACCTGAGTTTGCAATTACGTCCAAAAGTAACGAATCAACGATCAACGTCTACCCAGACGACTGTAGCACATCAAGATCTTACTTTTCGAATCAGGAAATCGATATGAGAAAAGTATGTTTGAACCATTTTTTGTTGATATGCCTGAAAGTGGTTGGGGTGAAAAAAAGATGGGCGAAAAAGCGTGCTGCATCATGGCTTTCATATCATAGGGTAATTAGTGTACCTCATCTGCATCCAAGTAAACACCATTAACAAATATGGCACCCAATTTGGCATTGATTCCAAGACGGCTCATAAACTTTTTGACGGATTCAACCTCGCCGTCAACCGTTTGCTTGACTGTTGCCAAAGCAATACTTGGTGACAGCCGAGACCATACTGCTGTGATGGCAGTCGCTAGTTCTGAAGGAGGCAGCTTCTTCTGCAGTTCAGGCAGGAGCTACCGAGATTGGAGAGTGTGAGACTATGCATCAAAGGTCACATCTTCGGTGCAAATTGAAGACATACCGCTTGTAACAAAGCTTTGGCTTCTTTTCGAGTTTCATGATGTAGTGCATACAAGACAAGCTCGGTAACGAGGATGTCTGTAAACGAAAACAAGTCAACTTATCGAGTGGAATCTTCATCGCGTCAAAAACACCCAGGACCTACTCGTTTCATCTGTAGTATCTATCACCGGCACGATACCCATTCGAATAGGTATATCTCGATCAATATAAGCCAAACTCTCCAAGACCATTCTCAGCTGCTCTGGTATTGCGAGATTCACGGCATATATAGTCGACACAAAGTTCTTCCTAATGTATTTCATCTGACCGGGAAAACTAGGCCTCAACAACTATGTGCAGCAAGTGTCAGAACCCTGAGCGAAGCGAAAAAATTACTGTCAGGTTACTCCCATCAGTACCTCTTGCACAGAATCTTGAAAACGTCCCAAGTATCTCTTATCTTTAGCCAAATCATTCCACCAAAAGACTGCATCACTACGAACATCAAACATTTGCCCAAGAGATGTTGCATCAGCTCCAGGGTCAGACTGTCCAATGGTGGAGAGCAAATCTATGGCGGTTTCAGGCGTGAAGCCCAAGGATACCAATGACGAGACCAATCGATGCTCTGACTTGAGGGTTCTCAGTAATCTGTTAACAATGCAAGGTTAAACTGGTGACATTTACTTCCGGTGAAATCCTTTATTTAGCTTCGCGGTCTTACTGAAAGGCATTAATCGTCTCCAGATCTAGTTCCAAGCCATTCACGGATATGCCATGCTTCACACGTGCATCTGGATTGAGCGTCGTGCTTTCCTCTTCTTGAAACCGAGAGGTTACGCTAGAGCGGTATAGTGGCTGCAGTGTCGTTGCAGCAATCAGATGAGCATATCTTGGGAAATCCTGGGATACTCGTTGTAGAGCGTCGAATGGATTAGATGATGTCATGACATATTGGCTAGCCTTCAAAGACAAATCTATTTCGAAAAAGGGGTTGGCGACAAAAAACAGGAAAGATTGTATCCTGAATTGTGTGGTCACCAGCAATCTCATCAGCTTTCAGAACTTGTATAGTAGGTTGAGCACTTGACAGTATGTCCTCTGTGTCAACTGGCCCATCACCACTCCGAGCACCAGGAGAAAGCACGGTTTGATCTTGGGCTAGGTTCCGAAATGATGTCAAATAAAATGGCAGCGACTGAAATCACGATTGTGCTTACATGTATCAATGTTGCGATCATCTGTAACGAGATACTCTGTACTTTTAATGGCCAGCTCCACGCCATATCCAGACACGTATAAAGTGTCGTTCTGTGGTACAGGTGGAGGCCTGTACCTCAATACATAAAATATCAAACCGTTGTCTGCCTTAGTAGTCAGAGCGATGTGCAACGGTAGATATTCGCCGGTAGTCAAGTCTGCATATAGAATGGCAGTAGGAAGACGTTTCCCGTGGTTGCCAGCAGCGGTATAAACATGATCAATTGGCAATAATTTACGAGGGTCGCTAAAACGAGAGTTGGGACAGTTATGTGATGCTGCCGAGATCTAACGCTTTGATTCACGTTTCTTACCTATTCACCTTCTTCATAGCGACGGCTGAGAAGCTCTCCACATCACAATATTGAGTTCCATACCAATCCACCCAATTTCGACAATCAGACTTCCACTTTGTTGAAGCCTGTTGCACCACGGTGCTTTCATAATATTGAAAATGGGCTTCTATAGCAGGTGCAAATTCGTGTAGTGATAATGATAACTTTAATAGATCTAAGGCAGCAGGACCAGACAACAAGTTTGAGCTTTTGTCGTCTGCCAATAGTTTTAGAGCCCCGTGATACACTTCCTTGGGAGTGGTCAGTTCGTATATGCTAGATTCACTCAATAAGGTTAAGAACGGGAACAAGGCACTTGTATTGTCGCGTGAAATGAATTCACTAGCAAGTTTGACAAAAGTTGATGTTAGCGATTTGATTTTGACAGATCATGGATTTACCTGCATATAAAATAAGCGCTGATTTTGCAATTTAAAATGAAAAATCATACGCTATTTGAGGTAGAAGTGGAGGTGCCTTCCATGGAGTTGTCAACCAAGTTTGAATTGCCGGATGTGAAAGGGTTGGCAGAGCATAGAGAAACACGACTCGAAGGGCAAGATACGACGTATGGCTCAAACAACGCATCGTCGAATAGATCTATCTCTCTCCGACAGTTTGATTCAAGGTGATGCTTGAGCCCAAGACCTGAACAAGTTGTCCGATGCTTCCTTGCTTCGAGGATCGCATCTTGGATGTATTGGATGACATTGAATCATGGAACATGTTTATATTTTGATTCTTACAACAAAAACTACGTCTTTGTCCACATAATTGCCTCTAAATCCAACTATAGTCGACATATAACAACGGATTCCTGGCCTTTATGAAGTACCTAAATAGAAAGAAAGTAGGCCCTCTGTGTTTTCGCAACCGGGCTTGGGACCGTCTATGGCCAAATTGCCTACGATGATGTTAGTAGTCCAAAACTCGTTCAAAAACAATAGTTGCCATCTTGTGAGGAAGTAGACAGAGAGAAGAGGGTCTTGGGCTCCTGTTTCCGACGGGCGAGTTCACATCGTATATACAATGATGCGCGTCGCTCCATGCCAAGCCTTTGATGGTGTCACCAGTGAGCATATCCTTTGCTATTCTGCCACCGTTGTCGAGAGCGCACGTAATCACTCAACAGTGGCCCCACCGCAAAGCCACGAATCAATGTCGTGAAGAGTGGGTCTTGATCACGTAGATCCTCCAAAAGGTGAACTGCCAAATTTAAAACCACAAACTACCAAAGAGTTCATCGATACAAATAGTTGGCGGGGTCTCAAAGCAAGTCCTTCTACCGCTACATTCCAATCCTAATGAGCAGGTACTTGGAGCCACCGCGGTACCTACGCTACAAGGTATTACTAAGTGGAGAGACACAAAGTTCTCTTTTTCAGGCAATTCCTTGATTTTTCGGCTAGGTGACATGGGGGGAGAGAGTAAAGAGAGCCAGTGGTCCGAGACGTACTGAATCCAGTGAAATAAATAAGCAGGGAAAAAGTAGTGGCAGTCAGAAGTCGGTGTGTCGAAAAGCCATTGATGGTGGCAAGAAATGTGGTGCTCACCATCACGGCAGTCAGTGATGTACCTGAAGAGAATCCAGTCTTATCACTGCTGGATGCGATCAACTCAATTGGCACGCACCACCATCAGACACTATTCGAATGTAGAAAGGTGTTGGTCAGCTTTGCAACAATGAAAAGAAGGAAAACTGAGAAGAGGCAGACTTTAAGAGTCGAAAAGCACTAGCTCTTGCAAGATAACATGCCTGTATTAGTGCATGACGCCTCTTGAGTAGCAGCTCCGTGTCTAGTCCAACGAATTCTGGACCGCCTCCCATAATTGTTGCTGCGAGTAGGATTGCGATTCTGGCGCTATGAACACACCATCCGGATAATAGAGAGACATGGATCAAATACGTGCCAAATGTACTAAAAACTAAAAACAGATCTTAAAACGGCACTATATACGCTGCAGTGGTTCTTGACACGTCGCCAAAGCAGCCACTCTGATTGACTTGATTGACTCGACTCTTGAAGTTGCTTGAATGCTAGTCCACACTGAGAATTGTCATAAATCCTCGGATTACATATGATTGGCGTAATAGTCAATATTTTGGAGTTATTTCCGGTACATCCCGGATTTCCTGGCTGTGAGGGGGTAGTTTCTGATTTCTTGCTTCCAAGTTCCAACATGTCGCATAAACATCAAAGGTTTTACATAGAAGACTTGCTCCTGTCATCGGAAGCTCCAAGTGAAAAAGATTGTATCTCTAAATATGTGACTGCACCTCAAATGACAAAAGCAGAAGCGAGGCATTAGTAGCAGCGTGACTTTGGACGCCTTTACAATCTGGAGCTGGGTTTTAGCATGTTCCTGTGTTGATCAAAATCGAATCTATTTTGGGGATCGGTATCGCCATCCTCTGAGTCGTCTTCTTCCCACAACGGGACAGCAAGATAATAGTTTGTTGCTTTGATTCGATCATCAACTGTTGATCATAATATAAGTATACATATTCCTTTCTTGCTGATTTATAACACGAAGAGATGCCCTTATTTACACTATGGCCTCTCAATCAACGTTAATGAGAGTTCCGTTCATCACTCTAGCAGCTATATTACAAGTCGATCTTTACCAACACAGGTTCAGCACGTACTTCACTCGCCAACGGTACCGGCGTCTTGGGTCTCCTAGGAATAGCCACAAAATCCGGAATCGGCGGCCTGCTCACTGGCAATGTAGGCAAAGCTTCTTCAATACTAACCAAGGGATCCTTCCTCTGTTTCCTTCCCAAACTCCTTACGAGATATGATGCCTTTCGAATCAATGGTCCCTGTTCAGCAACTGGTACTACTTGTAATTGCTTCCTTTTACGTAGATTATATATCACCAGTACGATTATAATGGCAAGTATAAGTCCTCCCACGCCAGCAAGTATGTCGAATAAGAGAGTGTGGTCTGGAGAGCTAGAGTCTAATGTTGCTGGAGTAGAGAGATCTGTCGTCGATCCTGATGGTATAGGTGTGATGGCAGTCATGTGAGAACGAGTTGATGATGAGTCCACAGAGGATAGGAGTGTTGCTGTTGCGACGTCGGTATTATTATATAGTCGGTGATTGGGCATCTAGAATGTGTGCAGTTTTGGAGAGATCAAGTTGAGTGATGGTTTACTTGCTTAAAAGCTGATTTTGGCTGCAACTCACCAATAGTTGTATAAGCCCAGCCTAGTTAAGAGTGCAAGCTTAGAATGCTAGTCCTCAAATTGTCTTTGTGGGCTTTGCTTGTCGAATTATGTGCTAGTTTCAGGTTTGTCGGGATTTGCGTACTTTGTCAACACCAGATTGATGGTTTGACCTCCCACTCAAAAGCCCCCAAAACACAACACCGGTCGAATCTCGATTTATAATAACAAAAAAGAAAGGAAATTGCGCAATCTAAACGTAATTCGCTTCCTTCACGACATCCGCAACAAAGTTTTCCATCGCGTGGAACATCGCCGCCCACAAACGCAATTGTCCATACCTGGTGTGCTGCTCATGTCTGAGTCCTTTTGCCACATATCCAAACTGCAAAAACCAACTCCTTTCCGCTACTTGCGTCAATACGTTGTGGTTGGTGGTTGGCGAAGTTCTTCAAGGTTCATGCACGAACATAAAGAGAGTGCTCAGGAAGAGTCATCACAGTTTCAATATACAGACTAGAAATTCGCATTAAACCACACGGCAAGAGTTACCATTCGTTACTATCACACAACAGTTACTTTATTATTTTAACTATTGGAATTAACACACATGTGACTGACCCGCCTTGATCTACTATTATATCTTTATAAACTGTTCGTTCCTACTTTACTGATTACATGTACCATGATTCCATAAATAACCATCCTTTTGAGCAACACAATCACCAACATGCGCCTTCACTGAGTACTTGTACTAGGATCCAACAGATACCCACCCTCATGAGCAACACGATCTCCAATATTATCCAAATTCAAAAACCCTTTTCGAACTTGACGACGTTTGATGAAGTGCAAAATCCCCAAACTAGCCAAGACGATAGTAAGCGTGATTCCAAAGATACTTGCGATAATTTTCATGATGAATGAGCCATTGGTTTTGAACACTGGGCCGGCAGGGAATGCTTGGACCTCCATTACGTTTACGAAGCATTCGTTGTTGACCTGGCAAGAGTGAGGTAGGATCGTCAAAAGCCAGTTGAATGACGGAGTGGAGAGCCAAACCGTGTTTACCATTTGAAGTTCGGTAAATATCAGATGCATGCCAATAACCTTATCCTTCAGCGTTTGAGAATCTTCCACAAGGAAGTAATCATATCCATCGGCTTCAGTCTACATGTTGAGATTGATTGTCAGCACTGCTTGTAAGGTGACAAAAACATCTGTTAGGATGATTTTTTGAGTTTACCACAACAGCGAGATTAGATGGCCTGAAAGTATTCGGAGCCAGTTTGTAGAATAATGAAACGGACTTCGATGTTCGGTTTCCCCATATAAGTCGTACCGCACCGAATGATTGTGGTCCATACTACATATAAAAATAACAATGAGCGTGGTGTAAGTTGTCAGACTAATCTCGATCCATCATATACAAAACAGCGAGGAGAAGTACAACACTTCGGTGCTTACACTATCAGTCCAGTCAAGCGTGACAGTCACAAAGGGCTCACATTTACCCGTCATCACTTGTGACAGCCATCTAACGTATCATCCACAATGTTAGTTAAACCACCACCACATACCAACTAAGACATCCAGTTCTTTGAGCACATACACACCCAGACTCATCATCATCATAAACACCATTCCCATCTTCATCAAAGTCATCCACAATATTCGCAACAGAGCATTCTTTCGGGTTTGCACAAGCCCCGGTATTTGATGTTGACGATGCAGTTGCTTTTGCATCTAGTGCAATATCGATTCCATAATTTGGTTTCGCGTGTGTGGTTATGATGAGAAACGTAAATAAGAAGATGAGTTTGATGGTGGTTGACTTCATAATTGATATTTGGCGGTTGTGTCGGTTTTATATGAGCGAGTTTTAGGTGGCAAGACACGCTAAATGCAATTGATACAAGATGGCCACTGTTTTCAAGATGTCTACAGCTGAAATATAGAGATGTTGGTAAGAATTTCGATGAGAGTTGAGAAAAACTGATAACAGTGCAGCGGGCGTCGAAATTGTTTTCAGAATGTCACGACTGATCTCGTGACTCTGGAAGCTGTTTGACAATAGATCTCCGTTCAGTGTTCACATATACATTAGAATTTGCCTCTCCTTTACCTGGTTCTATATGGCAGGCCTTGAAATTTCAATTGTCAAAAGAAACACGATGTTTTGTTTTGATCATGAAGTAGAAAGCCATGACGCCATGTTGTTTTGATTTGGCGCGCAGCCCGTACCAGTGGCTCCTTGTTGGGAGTCGCAGAATTAGGAAGGCCAGTATTCAAACCCAAAGCGAGATCGTTGTCGGGAATCTAGCCTCAGCCAGTGTTGGATTTCGATTTTTGACTATGCATATGCAGTTGACAAAACAGTAAAGGAAAAAGGAAACCTCAGACTTGCAAAATTACT